TTTCTCATTCCCTCTTTCCTCCATATGTGTCTCAGTTGTTTCTTTTCATCAAATGATCTATCTGGGAACTATTTTTTCTTAGTGATCAGTTTTACTTTGCTGACATGGCTCTTAGGTTTGACATTTTTCTTACCCATTGTATAGGAAAATTGTTCCCTAGAGAGTTCTACAGGATTCCAGAAACAAAATTAGAAAATCACAAAAACATATACAGATAGACTTAGGGAAAACCAGGGTTCGGAAGGCTCTCTGGCACTTGGTCCCTTGGTGCCAGCAAGCAAGCATAGTTCCTTGAGTGCACACAGGGAAGATTACCATTGATAACATGCAAAAATGAAGTATCTATTTTAGTAGTACAATCAGAGCCACAACAGGTTGTGAGGAAAACATGTTTCCTAATCTCCTGAGACAGAAGACTGGCTCCCAGATAAAATGCCTACATGAAGTTCACCTTACCTAGCCTTGAAGGTGAACAGCAGCTCAGTTTCAGATGCTATCTTTCTATCTTTCCAACAGTAAGGAAAAGGCCTGCCCTCCAGTCTCTTAACCCTCTCCAGAATTCTCTTTTAACCCTTCTGTGGCCAGCTCTCAATGTTCTCATTGCGGTCAGGCTGGAATTCCAACCTCTCAAACCTTTTCCCCCTTCAGCTCAACTTCAGAGTTCCCCACAGAAAAGTATTTCCTTCGCCCAACTTATACACTACAAGAAAATCAGTTTTCTCCTGATTCGGTTATCTTTGGTCTAACTTCATTTGATGTGGTATTTGTTTTGTCTTTCCTTCCCACTACTTTTGAATATTTTAATTCACTGCCAGTATATGATAGGAACTGGTTTTGATAAAAAAAAAAATACAGTGACAAGGTGTTCTTTATTAGAAATATCACTTGTTGCAAAATCTCACGGATGATTTCTCAGGAATTGATTTGGATCTCTGAGAAATTTTGCGATTAACTAACACAAGTGGAAATATATCCTTAGGGATCTACTGGAGAAATGACTCAGAAATATGTGACACATTGGAGCATTTGTTCATATTCATCATTTTTGTCATATTTAGTATTCCTTGAGCTTCTATATATTTTCCTCCACCTTCCATGAAGTCTATTAAAATGAAAATATTGTAAAGAATATTGTATTCCCCTTCCACATATATTTTGTATTGTAGAATGTAGGCAAAGTTTACAAAACTTCATGGTAGCAGTTCTTTTTTAAATAGGATGGAAATATCAGGGTATCTGTGACCACTTTTCAATATTTAGTATTTAAACCAAACATGGTTAACCTAGGGTATTTTTATGTGTGAACTCAATTAAATCATATATGGGCAAAATAAATCATTAGCTACTTTCTGGAGTACTGTTAGTATTTTTGAATATTCATGTGGACACTGCTTCTCATAGGTCTAGTAATATTCTATGTTCTGTATTTCATGTCATATCCTGAATGTGTTCTGCTTGCTTATGAGAGTACCTGTTAATAGAAAGTCAAAATAGGATTTAGGGTGAAGCAGTATATGTAAATGCAGTAAAAATATTTGTTTAATTCATTGTTACCCTTATATGTACTAAAATTTTATCAAAAAATGATAATATAATTTTTCAGACACCTCCTTAGACTTATTGTTGTCATGCCAGATTATTGTCTCCTTAGAGTTTTTATCTTGTCTCTATTGCTAGCAGCAGAAATGTGTTTGCATGCAATAGGGAAACTGTAATTTTTTATTGGTCTTGGGGCTTGAATTCTGGGCCTGGTTCTTGTCCCTCAGCTCTTCAGGTCAAAGTGAGTGCTCTACCACTTGAGTGACAGTGCTACTTTCAGTTTTCTGGTGGTTTATTGGAGATAAGTGTCTCATGGACTTTCCTGCCTGGGCTGGCCTTGAACCTAGATCCTCAGACCTCAGCCTCCTCAATAGCTAGGAGGATAAGCCACCAGTGCCCTGCCAATCTGTGTGTTTTAATGACCAGGTTTATATATTGTCCAATATTTCTAATTTGCTATTTAATTTTCCCAGTGAATAGATAACACAGCAAGCTGCAAACATTTAATGTAAGACAAAAGCATACCTGCAGCATAATGAAATTCCTGATTGGAATTCTCATGACCTAGGTCTAATTTCTTGATGGAAATGTGCCATTACAGAAGCTGATGTCATTTGATGATGTGGCTGTGTACTTCACATGGAAGGAGTGGCAGGATCTGGATCCTGGTCAGCGGACCCTTCACAGAGATGTAATGCTGGAGACCTATAGCAACCTAATGTCCTTGGGTGAGCAAAGGTCACTTTTTCTTGGAAGATCAAGTGCTTTTATTTTAGTAGACATTTGACTGTTTATGTTATCTAGGTATAAGATTCCAGTCCATTCCCAGCTAAAAACTGCTAGTATAAAAGCCAGCCAAATTGAGGTCTGGGAGCTTGGTGTTGTTTGCCTTTGCACTACTGCATGAACCACAACTCCATTTTGGCTTTTGTTTTGGGGTATATTCTGGGTTTCCTTGCCCAGGTTGGTTTCAAGCCTGCCACTTCAGATCTCATCTCGTCAATGAAGGATTAAAGTTGTAAGCCTTTGAACCATAACATTTTCTAAAAACAAACAAACAAAAAAAAAAAAACACTAAAAAAGATTCCAGTCCATGGGAAGTGTCATTTCTTTGTAAGGGAAACTTCAACTTCATTATATGTAACTCAAGAGCTAATTTTATTTTCAGTCTTTAAGATTTCTAATCAATTTTGGACAAAAGTTCTAAACTATGATCCAATAATAGGAGACTGACTTCCCAGACTTGGGGTAATTATTATAGGTGGATCTACAGTCTAGATAAAATATACATTACTACTGACAGTATGATCTGGAAATCAGTAGGTGAAAGTGTGTATTTGTAAGCCAAACTTGACACAGAGTTTAGTGCATCAAGATTGGAATTCTAGATACTCTGGAGGCTGAAATCTGAAGATTTTGGTTTGAAGCCAGGAACTGTGGAAAAGTGACCATGAAACTCTTATCTCCAATTAACCATTCAAAAACTAGAATCATAGGCAAGACTCAAACTAGTAGAATGCTAGCTTTGAGCAAAAGAGCTGAGTTCAAGCCACACAATGCCACAATAAACTCAAAGCTGGGGGCAACTCCACCATGGAGTAATTAAGAATAGAGAAACCATGGGCTGGGAAGATGGCTCAGGGATAGACAAATTCCCTTGCATACTTGAGGCCCTGTGTTCGATATCTCAGCACCACATAAGCAGGGAAATAAAGCTAGAATTGGTGTTGTGGCTCAAGTGATAGAGTGCTAGACTTGTGCTTAAGAGCAGAGAGACAGCTCCCAGGCCCAGAATTCACGCCCCACAACTCGACGGCCCCCCACAAAAACAATTGAGAAACCAGATTTAGGAGCAACCTTGTGAACAGGATGTCTGCGACCTTACATTAATGATGACCCAGCAAGAGCAATTGTTCTCCACTATTTCTTATTCACAGGGCACTGTGTTCCTAAACCTGAATTGATTGTGAAGCTGGAGGAAGGTGCAGAACCATGGATAAGAGAAACCTCAGACAAGAATTTTACAGGTTGGTTAAAGCATCTTGAATGGTGATGATGGATCCAGAGCCCAGTGGGTCTGTTTATATTGAGCGGTATGGAGCAATAGTATTCCTAGTGCCTCTGAGTCATGTGTGGCAGAGAACTAGGTGATCCTTTGTCTCAAGGAATTGTCAATCCAGAATTCACATGGAGACACACTGAATTTGGTGTGCCAGTGTAGGCAGTGTTAGCAATTCCCTTTTTCTGTAGAGAAGTCATTCATAAAGAGAAAAAGAGAATAAGAAATGTAGAAAGGAGATCTCATTTTCTTTTAAACTAGTATTATGCAGGTAGGAGGAAAATAGGAGTATGCTAGGGCTGCTATCCTCTGATGGGGACAATTTCTTATCAGTGGTGCTGGGCATAGAGGGTGATTCAGAATGGAAGCATTAAGAGTATGGAGATGAATAATTTCAGGAAATATTTCCTGGGAAAACATATAATAATCTAAAATACAGAAAAACATTATTTTGCACTGTAAAATGTCAGTACTACTTTCTTAATTACTACATTGCAGAGAAATGTATATGTTCTGCATAAAGCAATGTTTTGATATTTGAAAATCTACTAAGAAAATGTGAGGAAATATCGTTATCGTAAGGAATTTGTGGGATTCATTTATGTTTTTGTCTATTTTTCTATTATTCATTTTAGATGTCCCAGAAATGGAGGATGTGATTAGCACCTGTCAGGAAAGTCACAATAAATATCTCTCTGAAGTAGCAGTCATGAATAGTAACCCAGGGAAGGAAAAAGTGAGACTTATAAAAAGTTTTCATTTGAGCTCCATACAGAAGTCAGAAATGATTAAGAATAATGGGAACTCCTTAGGGATGAGGATAGAAAAGGTCACTGGGTGTCAGAAAATGGGTGTTTTCAGTGAACCTGGTAAGATGTGTGCTGCCTATAGTCCTCATGTGTCTTCTGTAGTTGAAGAATATAAACAATGTGAAAAGTCACACACTGTTGTCCCTCAGAGAACACACACAAGAGAGAAACCTCATGAATGTAACGTGTGTCGAAAGTCTTTCACCAAGAAATCAAAGCTTACTGTCCACCAGAGAACACACACAAAAGAGAAACATTTTCAATGCAACATTTGTGAAAAATCTTTCACCTGCAAGGCATATCTTACTAGACACCAGAGAACACACACTGGAAAGAAAATTTATGAATGTAACTTAGGTGGAAAGTCTTTCTCCTGGAAGTCAACTCTCACTGTCCATCAGATAACACACACAGGAAAGAAACCTTTTGAATGTAACGTGTGTGGAAAGTATTTCATCCAGAAATCAAAGCTTACTGTTCACCTGAGAACACACACAAAAGAGAAACCTTTTGAATGTAACATTTGTGGAATGCCTTTCTCCTGCAAGGCATATCTTACTAGCCACCAGAGAACACACAAAGGAGAGAAACCTTATGAATGTAACATGTGTGGAAAGTCTTTTACCAAAAAATCAAAGCTTACTCTCCACCACAGAACACACACAGGAGAGAGACCTTATGAATGTAACCTGTGTGGAAAGTGTTTCACCCAGAAATCAAATCTTACTGTCCACCAGAGAACACACACAAAAGAGAAACCTTTTGAATGTAAGATTTGCGGAAAGTTTTTCACCCACAAGGAATATCTTTCTACCCACCAGAGAACACACACAGGAGAGAAATTTTATGAATGTAACTTGTGTGGAAAGTCCTTTACCAGGAAGTCAACCCTCACTGTCCATCAGATAACACACATGGGAAAGAAACCTTATGAATGTAATGTGTGTGGAAAGTCTTTCACCAAGAAATCAAAGCTTACTGTCCACCAGAGAACACACACAAAAGAAAAACCTTTTCAATGCAACATTTGTGGAAAATCTTTCACCTGCAAGGCATATCTTACTAGCCACCAGAGAACACACAAAGGAGAGAAACCTTATGAATGTAACATGTGTGGAAAGTCTTTCGCCAGGATGGCATACCTTACTGTCCACCAGAGAACACATACTAGAGAGAAACCTTATGAATGTAACATGTGTGGAAAGTCTTTTACCAAGAAATCAAAGCTTACTGTCCACCACAGGACACACACAGGAGAGAGACCTTATGAATGTAACCTGTGTGGAAAGTGTTTCACCCAGAAATCAAAGCTTACTGTCCACCAGAGAACACACACAAAAGAGAAACCTTTTGAATGTAAGATTTGTGGAAAGTTTTTCACCCTCAAGGAATATCTTTCTACCCACCAGAGAACACACACAGGAGAGAAAATTTATGAATGTAACTTGTGTGGAAAGTCCTTTACCTGGAAGTCAACCCTCACTGTCCATCAGATAACACACATGGGAAAGAAACCTTATGAATGTAATGTGTGTGGAAAGTCTTTCACCAAGAAATCAAAGCTTACTGTTCACCAGAGAACACACACAAAAGAGTATCCTTTTGAATGTAACATTTGTGGAAAGTCTTTCACCTGCAAGGCATATCTTACTAGCCACCAGAGAATACACACAGGAGAGAAACTTCATGAATGTAATGTGTGTGGAAAATCTTTCATGCAAAAGGGTAACCTTACTGCCCACCACAGAACACACACAGGAGAGAGACCTTATGAATGTAACCTGTGTGGAAAGTGTTTCATCCAGAAATCAAAGCTTACTCGCCACCAGAGAACACACACACAGGAGAGAAACCTTATGAATGTAACACGTATGGAAAGTCTTTCACCAAGAAGTCATACCTTACTTGCCACCAGACAACACACACAAGAGAGAAACCTTATTAATGTAACATTTGTGGAAAGGCTTTCACCTGGAAGTAAAACTTCACTGTCCATCAGAAAACACACATGAAAGAAACTTTATGAATGTCATATGTGTGGAAAGATTTTCAGCTAGAAGCTACACCTTACTTTCCACCAGAGAGCACACACAGGAGAGAAATTTTATGAATGTAACCTATGTGGAAATTCTTTCACCCAGAACATACACCTTTCTGTCCATCAGAAAAAATCCCACCAGAGAGAAATGTTATGTATGTAGTCGGCATGGAAATTCTTTCATCTGGAAGGCAAACCTTAACATCCATCACAGAACACAAGGAGAGAAACCTTATGAATGCAACCAGTGTAGAAAGACCTGGAGTTCACAGCTTAACACACATAAGTTGATTCACACAAATGAAATAACTTAGGATTGTACCAAATGGGGAAAGTCTTTGATCCGTAAGAAAATTGAAATTGCAATACAGAACCAATACAACATAGAGACCTTATGATATAGCTGATGTGGAGTCCTCCAACTACAAGACACAGCTCAGAGTATATCATAGAACACCCAAAACACACAGAAACACAGACACATACTCTCACACACAAAGAGGAGAGAAATCATATGTAGGAAAATATGGAAAGGTTTTCAAGAAAAAGTCCTAACTCAGTTTCCATCAGAGAACAGACACAGATGAGAAAATACAAATATATCAAATGTGGATAGTCCTTTACTAAGTATTCATAGATCCAAGTTCATATAACACACAGCAGAGAAATCTCAAAAATATTACAAATGTGGAAGGTCTTTGACCTGAAAGGAATATCTCAGTGTTTATGAGAGAACTGACTCACATAGGAGAAAAGAAAGTAGTGCATAGAACATATGTGAAATGACTTTCAATCAGAACTGAGTCCTCATCATATGTGAGATCATACACAGGAGAGAAATTATGAGTATAGAAAACATTTTGCCAGAAGTCTTATCTGTACAGGTATCAAAGACCTGGACACATGACAGAATTTCTGTAAATATAAACATGAGAGGAAGTCTTTCAACCAGAAGCCAACCTTCAGCAATTATTAAAATATTCACCCAGGAAAGAAACCAAATGTAGGAAAACCTTTGTCAGAAAACCTCTGTAAATTATACAGAGAAATTCTTCATGGCAGAGGTAAGTTAGGGGTGATGGGAAACCATTCTTCACTCTTCAGCTCTCTTTGAGCCAACATTTGTCATTATGTTGAGTGTGGATGGTGTCCTTCAATATTATCCAAAGCATGTAGAAACAACCAGTCTCGACAAATCATTAAGAAATTGAAATAATTCACTTGTGTCTTTTATACTAAGGAATGGTGTGTCAAGGTAATTTGTAAACTCCTCTTAGAAATATGAGTTCTAGCCCTTTGGGACTGGATTCAGATCATCTCCAACATGCTTATGGGAACAATAGATGAGTAAATACTGTTATGATTGGAGGCAAGAACATGAGAACAACCATATTTCTACTGCTCCCTTAAGTCTCCCTCTGTATGTGTGATCCATGCGTTATAGTACAAATGACTTACTTATTCCAGTTCAGTTTTTGAATGGAAGATCTAAAGGAAGATATTAGTCCTTATTGCAGTACATACATAGTAGTAAAGTTTTTCTCATAGGGGTAACAATGCTCAAAAGGAAATGTATTCATGACCTAACTCATAATGGTATAACCAATCTGTACAGTATGTTTACAATAAAATATATATTTAAAAATATGATAGATTAATAAAGACTAGAATCTGCATTGTGCCTTGGGGGAGAACCCCAAAGTGTCTTCAGTGCTTGCTCTTTTCTTTAATTAATCATTGGTGATGAGCAACTTGTGATTGATTCACTCTTAGCCTATTTAGTTGTTCTGCTGAGCAAGCTATTACAAAACACCAGTGTGGATGATGTGTCGCACCTGTGTTATCTCATAGAGGGCCAAAGTGGATAGTACATCAGGGGAAATAATTGAGCACACAAAGATATTGATCAACCTCTCACAAAAATTGAAGTTAACAAAAGAATAAAACCATCTGCCACTTGAGTTACAGCATCACTTCTAGGCCCTGAGAGGAAGGAAGGAAAGAAGGAAGGAAAGAAAGAAGGAAGGAAGGAAGGCAGGAAGGAATGATGTGAGAGAGGGAAAGAGGAAGGGAAGGAATGAGGAAGAAGGAAGAAATAAACTATTCAAAAGAAGAATGTTTAATTTTTGGTGAATGTGAGAATTATTGTTTCAGAGGTGGGGCTCACGAAAAATGGCTTTTACAAAAGTTAATTCTTGAACTGTTCACAAAATTATAAGGAGGCTGTAACATTTTATAAATTGACTTAATATTTCAAGAATATTAAGTAAGGAGGTCAGGTGTGGCTGGTGCCCTATTGGGCACATGGTGGATGGTGGGGTCTGGCATCTTGTCTTCATGCAGGGGCAAGGAATACCCCCTTCATCACTTGCCACCCAACTGATAGGTGTCGCTGGTTCCCTGAAAGCAGGGGTGAGAATTTGGTTGATATGTTACTCAATCTCTTAGTCCAGTGACTGGGACTGGAATTTCCTGTAGACCTCCCTCCTGCTTAGGCCCTATTTAGGCTGGACCAGCAGTGGCACTAGATGCTATGGTACATGTCTCTGTGATCATGTCCTGTGTCCTGTCTCCTGGCTTGTCTCTGGTCATCATAGTGTGCCAATTCAGCACTCTTTTCCTGCTGATTGGTTTCTTGGTGTTTTTTTAATTCTTTTTTTTTTTTTCCTTTCTGTCCTGTTAGCAAGCTGTCTGTTTGTGGACTGCAAGTCCTTGTTACAACAGGCTGCTTGCAGACTGCTAGCTGTGTAATAAACACTGCAGTATTCCATCTTCCATAATAATTCCATCTTCCAAATGTACTGTCTTCTTTTACAGAAACACAAAGGTTGACCTAAATTTAGAATTTCTAGAGCCAAGGTAGATGCCACTGTATAGTTATGTAATTAAAGATATCCATGAGGCATTCAGAAAAAATGTCTGTTACATCAGAAAGTGCTTAATTAGTAAACCAAGACCAAGACTCCATATCCTATATAAGCCAGTCATTCTACATATGTCCACAGCTGTTTTGTTACATGAAGGGCTCTATTTTCACACTTTCATGAAGAAATGTTTTTGTGCCAATATGAGGTCTTCAACTCAGGGACTGAGTTGAAGCCAACGAGAGCTCCTAGGAATCTAAAAAGCTAGGAATCAAAGCATGAGCCCTGTGGGCTGTTCTGAAGAAATCTCTCTCTGCGAATAAGAGGTTTCATTTAGTGCTTCACCTCAGGCTTCCTGTACCTTCAACAATTTTAATTGTTCAAAGAGAATTCTTAAATCCTGGCCAGGATTCCATTTACAAGATAAGGACAGTGGACTTCACATTGCCAGATTTAGCTGGGTTGCTAGCTTATCCCCTCCCCTCACACTGTTCACCCATCTGCTTATCTACTGAGGCCTAGTAAAGAAGAAAAAAATAGGGGGATTAGGAGGCCCTTGGCCTTTCTACTTGTACCATACACACACACATACACAAACACCAGCTATTTGGATATAGTTCATTCTCCCATTTTTACACACTGGATGCTTTCCGATAAAGGATGGTTCATGGACCGGAGTCCCTTCTACCTAGGCCTGTCATATAGCTGTCATTAAAACTCATGAACCAACATACCACATTCAAAGTAGCCCTGATGATAACATTTTATTTTTGATTTTATCACTTTTGTTATTATCATTTGGCTAATACTTTTGCTGGAGCTCAAAATTTAAGGGACTTGCTGCTCACTGAATTGGTAAAATACCTTTTCCTTCTTTTAGTTTAAAATCAGCAATTAAAAATGAGCAATTACAGTCCCTCGTGTGGAATCTTAGCTACTCAGGAAGCTGAAATTACAAAGGTAGTATTTGTAGGCCATCCCATGCAAAAGCTTCATGAATATGGTATCTTAGCCAAGAAAAGGATGGATCTGGTCATATGTGCCTATCTTGTTTGCTACTTGTGATATGTAATTATTACAATTAGTGTGTTGAAAGGCCCAGACAAAGAAACAAGACCCTAAGGTGAAAAATCAGAGATAAAAAAGGGCATCTGGTATAGAAGGTAAAGGAAGCCTCACAAATTTTTGCCTCTGAATTCAACCTGAGGACCACTAATATGATCTGTGAAAACAATGCATTCTTCCAAATATTTTGTGGAAGAATTTGGATGTGGTTTACAGAATGATAGGTAAACAGACCTTTACTGAGATTGCAAAAGGACCTTTGCATATGTCTATATGATGTTATGAATTTTATATCCTATTCTGTGGAAACCATGAGTCCTGCTTGGATCAAGTAGTTAAGATCTCCTGATCTAATGGGGCACTGGTGCTTCAATTCAGAATTCTTAGTTGCTCAAAAATATGAGGTTTAAAATCACAATTGAAAGGCCAACTAGGTAGTAAAGGCTGTGAGACTGTTATTGCCAATTATCATGAAATTTCCCACAATTAGTGCTGTGAATCATGCTGATAGGTTGTCATCACATTTGTTCCTTTATTACAAAATCTGAGGGACAGTACCCAGACCCTGAGTAGAAAGAACTCCAAGGCCAGGGAAGATATTTTGTAAAAATGGGTTCTTTGGCCTTCATGCAGGAAAGTTTCCAATCCTATAGAAACCTAAAATACTCCATGGGATATAGTCATTGTCCCTCAATTGAAGTTGATATTGAAATGGCTTATAAGCGTGGGTAATGATAAATTGTCACAAATAATTTGATACCTGTTGTCATGTGAATGCACATGCACATACCTTTATGTTTCTGACTAGTTCATAGTTCCT